AAAGAGAAAAAATACTGGAAGATTCCCATAGTGAAACACCTGACCCAACCTCCTGAAGAAAAGAGGCAGTGTGTCCCCACTGACCCAACATGGTGGCCCCTCCCCAATTCTCACTTCTCCTGTTCCCAAATTAAGATAAAGCACCCCCTTACCTTTCCTTCTTCTCCTGGGGCTCTTTGGCAGCTTTCCACTCAGTCCTGCTGTAAGGAACAAGTGACTATTTTGCCTAGCGTGTAGAGGGTCCCTCTGATGTGCTCCTTTCTTAATGCTTTTCTTAAGGAAAACAAAAAACAAGTGTACCCGTAATTTCACGCAGCTAAATATGAAGTCTCTCTCAAGCAGGCCCCTCCAAAAAACAAACAAACAAAAAAATCAAATTTTGGTTCGCCCCACAAAAAACAAACAAAAAAATGCCAGACGGAAAAAAAAAAAAAAAATGAAGCGATAGATCAACAGGAAAACACCATCCAAGGAGAAGAAGCTTCAGTGTTATCCAGCCCGGAGAAGGAGAAACGCAGCAGAGCGATCCCAGAACCAGCTTTTATTATTATTATTATTGGTGGTGGTGTTGTGGTGGTGGCGAGAGGTTATTATTCGTTTCCAGTGGCGGGCATCAGAAGAAGAGTCCGAACCCAACCCGAGGAAGCGCCGCGCGGAGGCGGCCCGAGCTCACGGGGGCGGCGGGATCCGCCGAGGCGCAGACGAGGGCGGGGGGCGGAGCGCGGAGAGAGTCTCAGTCCGCATGGGGGGGCATCGGGGGATGAAAAAGTGCACGACAAGGGGCAGCCGCAAGCGGGGGACAGGCGCCCCCCCCCAGCCCGCCGCAAACGGGGGGGGGTGCGGAATCTCCCGGGAGGGAGGAGGAGGATCCAGTCTCTCCCAGGGCAGCAGCAGGAGGAGAAGGAGGAGGAGGAGGATCCAAGGGAATCTGTCTGTCTGTCAGGACGGGGCGGGGGGTCCGAGGAGCCCCTGGCAGGGACGCGCCGAAGGGGGGACGGGGCGCTGCTCTCCCTCGCCCCCAGCGGGAGCCGGCGGAGCAGGCCGGGCTGTAGCAGCGGAGGGCGAGGCGGGACCCCGCGCCTGGGGGGGGGAGACGGAGGCCGGGGCCGCAGCGCCGCGCTGTCGCTGTCCGCAGTGCCGGG